TTCTTCCAAGGTGGTATGATAAGGGGCAAGGTGTTTACTCCTTTCCTGGCCTGCGACTACAAGTACTCCTTTCTGTCCTGTAACTGTGATGAGGGGCTTCTCCACACACTACAAGCTCCACCAAGCCAGCGCTCCTCCTCACCCCAGCACTGCTGCCCAGAACTGTGGCCCAGATCCAAACACGGGCAAAGCAAGAGATTCCTGCCTCCGCACTGGCAAAGAGATCCCTGTAATCCCTCTCTGATCAGCCACTGGATTCCCCTCAGTCTGTGGGCTGGAAGCTCGGGAAGCAGCTGCCCCCCACAGGGCCACGCTCTTGGGGAATGGAGCTGAAACCCTGCCTTCCTTTCTCAGGCACTGACAGAAACAGACTTTTCCCACTGACCTTCTAATTTGTATTTGGCATTGGTGGATTGAGGAGTCTGGAAACCTCCACAGCTGCCCCGAGATTCAGTCCTCTGAGGCCTGCTCCAGGTTTGCTGCAGCCTGCGCGCCCATGCCGCGCTGCCTCGCTGCAATACACCTTTCTGATCAATCATCCAGGTTGTCTTGGGCTGGAAATTTGTTTCACTCTGTCTTTTTGTGGGTTCTGCTGCTTCAGAATTTGTTTAGAGCTATTTTTTATGAGTATTTGGAGGGTTTTGGAGGAGAGCTCAAGCAAGTCACTGCTTTCACTCTGCCATCTTGGCTCCACCTCCTATTAAATCTTTTGAAAGAAGATACTGGAAGATTATGAGCAGCACTGCCTCATTAAACGATGTGAAGCAGTGGAGGGAAAACCTTACCAAGAGACCCTATGTTAGCCCAGTCATCCGAAAGACATATAAGGATAATACAAGAAGGAGAACAGCAGGCATATGGAAAATAGATAAGATATGTAGTCATTTTTCTATCATTCTTTTTCCATTATTGGCTTAAAGTAAAGCTCTCTTGTTTGGACTCCTAGCATCACCATCCTTTTTCTGTTTTCTGAGGAAGTAGAAATTCCAGTAAACACAATAAAGATGGGAAGAACATTGGGACTAGACGTAGGCATATATGAAATAGGTCTCTATAGAGGTGACACAGTTTGAGGGTATGGAGTGCTTGCTTTTCCAGATATCTGAAGGATTGTGAGGATACTGAAGGCTTGGAAAAAATCTCAGATATTGTTTCCAAAAAAATGTTGAAGAAGAGCATAGTAATAACTGTTGCCCTGTATATTTAATTTCCTTTTTCTGTGAAATTTTAATGAAAATGCTCATTCATGTAGACATTGCCTTTGACTGTTCTCTAAAGTCAATTCTACCAGTATTTTTTTATATCATAATGTCAAACTGCTAAAGACAGTTTCTGTGCTGTCAAAAGTTAAAATATGAAGTGAGAACTCTGTTCCCAAAACACATTTACCGTGGGTATATTTTCTGAGCTCAAACTACAGTTCCATTTTGTTTTCTGACTTCACAAGTGCAAACAAACTTTTAATATTTCAAATACACCTAACCATGCAGTTGAGAAACTTCTCTTCCTAACCTTCAGTTGAAGTGATTAATTTGCAATATAATGACCTGCTAAAAAGGAAAATATCAAGAGAAGAATCTAATAGAATTCTGTAAATGCCTCCCAAATGATGAATATACTAAATTAAAATCACTGGTATCCATAAATAAAATCTATAATAATATATCCATAAATAAAATCATTGATATTTGTATGTTGCAGCACTTCTTATTATGAAGACATCTTCAAAGATGAAACGTAAAATTTTATTATAGGTCAGCATTAACAGATGAACATTTCTAATTGAACTTAGACCCAATCAAGCAAAATGTTATTGTCCCTAAAAGCTTTGTTTTTCTCCTTAACAGACTTGTATCACAATTATACTCAATTATTGTTGTCATGTTTTGAATTTTGTCATTAAAAATCTTTGGAAATTTGTTTTCTCTTTTGTTATATGAGTTCCTATATCATATTCTTTATTTTGCTTGTTGGACCCCAAATCTTAAAATATTTATTATTTGACCCTTTAAGAAACTGACCTCTACTCTAAGTCAAACAATCAAGGATTTTTTACATATGTACTGTACTGAGATACAAAGTCAAAAGTAAAATAATCAGGAATCTTAGATGGGTGCTTACTATATGTGTTTGTTATTCAGTTGTTTCTGTTATGTGTGTGAGACTCTTCATGACCCCGTTTGGGATTTTCTTGTTAAAAATACTGGAGTGGTTTGCCATTTCCTTCTCAGGCTCATTTTACAGACGAGGAAATTGGGGCAAACAGCATAGGGTTAAGTGACTTTCCCAGGGTCACACAACTAGTATCTGAGGCCAGATTTGAATTCAGGAAAATGTGTCTTCCTGACTTAAGACCAGGCTCTCTATCCACTGTGCCACCTAGCTGCCCCACTACCTGTGTATATATAGATAAATAAAAGGTGTTCCAGAAGTCTTTGTGCAGTTTCAAGTTAAAAAACTCCATGGAGACTTTTGGAACACCCTGCACAAGACAGTCTTAGAGGGTTTGACAGTAGCTGCTAGGAACATCAGGAGGTGATGTTTAAGTTGAGCTTTGAAGGAAATTAGGATTCTATGAGTCAGAGATGGGGAAGGATGAATTCTAGACAAAAGGTTCAGCCATTGCAAAGATATAGAGACAGGGAATGGAGCTTCCTGTGTGAAGAAATTAAGTGGAATTTTATGTATTCCCTGGCTACCAGTGTCTGTCTATCTCTGTCTCTTGTCTCTGTCTCTGTCTCTCTGTCTCTCTCTCTCTCTGTCTCTCTCTCTCTCTCTCTCTCTCTCTCTCTCTCTCTCTCTCTCTCTCTCTCATTGGGTTAAGTGACTTGCCCAGGGTCACACAGCTAGTAAGTGTCAAGTGTTTGGTCTGAGGCTGGATTTCAACTCAGGTCCTTCTGACTTTAGGTGCTCTGTCCACTGTGCCACCTAGCTGCCCCTGGTGTCTGTCTCTTAATCCTCATTTACCATGTGAGTAGCTTACCTCTTTTTCTGATCATGTATTTCCTAGTTGATAAAAGTCATTGTTGGCAGCATAGTGGTACATAGTGGGTAAAGTACTGTATGTGGAATCAGGAAGATCCAAGTCTAGATCCTCCCACAAATGCAGCATTTTTAACTCTGAGCAAGTCATTGAATCCATCTGGGGCTTAATTTCCTCTTCTGTAAAATGAGAGGTTTGGTTGGAGTGTCCTTTAGGGTCCCTTTCAGTTCTCAATGTATAATCCTGTTTTTGGTACATACTATATGTTGCCTGCTGTGCCACTTCTAGTTTTGATTTTCTGAAGATTGTGGAGTGTGATGTGTCCTGAAATAACATCAACAGGGAACACTGGTTTTAAAAACACGGAGTTTTGTGTCAAAGATGCTGCAGTTTCCCAAATGCAATCTAGCCTCCTCCTGTCCAATCTTGGGCTCAGCTAATTGTCCATTTTTAGTTTCTCTCCAAGGTTAAAACACACACACACACACACACACACACACACACACACACACACACACACATGTTTGGCCAGTGACCATGAATCTCATTGAGTAAGCTGTCTGTACAATGTCACATGTACATAGAAGTATTTGGAGGCTTTCAGTGTAGGGAATCTGCACTGGGGAAAACTGTTCGGCAAGTATATAATCTTCCTTGTGTGTTTGATTTTAATAGAAGACCACTGCACATTTATGTGTGTACTATTTTGTACTATTTTCTACACAATTCGGGCCGTTTACCTAATTGATCATTTCTTAATCGGATAAGTATTCACCTCCCTCTCTCCCTCCTCCCTTCCTCCTTCCATCCCTCATAGAATGCCTTTCAGTTGTCTTCTTGCAGGAAATATGTAGATACTGTATTCGTCTTGGGTCTTACTCGATTTGAGTCATCATCCTGTCTTCTTTCTCACTCCAGGATTATTGAAGTCTTGTCTCTTCCCAGGTCCTAGTGACTTAGTATTTCCTGTCCCTTGGAAAAGTGGAGCCACACCTTCCAACTCTTTGCCCACAACAGGCACTTTTTCACGTCTCCACTACTGTAGTCAACCTATTGGTCTCTAATCCCTCTCCCAATTCATGGCCAGCGTAGGGGCCCTCCCCCCCATTTTGTATATGTGTGTGTGTGTGTGTGTGTGTGTGTGTGTGTGTGTGTGTGTGTGTGTGTGTGTGTATATATATATATATATATATTGTGTGTGTGTGTGCACATATGTGTATATATGTATTGTTACATATAGCATATATGAAGACATTTTCTTGTTTTTTATTTTGAAAACAATTTTAAAGCTTGTTTTGGGGGTCTCTGTGCTGCCTGTACACCATTGACCTGCTTTATAGGTATCTTTTTGTTTTAAAAAAACAAAAACAAAAAACTTCAAGAGCAAAATAACAAAAAGTCTCCTAAATAGCCTCCAATTCTTTTTTCTCTTTTTTGTTTCTTATTCCTTAGCCATATTTTCTAACACACTTTTTGCTTTCCTCTGCCATCTTTACATTGAAATCACTAAATCTAAGTATTTATGTTGGCTTGGTTTGGGGGATCTTAACGATAAAATTTGTGGTTTGTTACAAAGTAATGTGACATTTCAAAATCACACCTCATTATCACTGCAAGTCAATGTGAATAACCTTGAAGATTTGGAAAAAAGATTACATTGAAGATTTATCACAGCATAGCAGGAAACTATACTAATACGCATTGGAAATTTTTTTTGCCACAAAATTTTTCAGTGCATTTGGCTTTCTAGTTTTCTATTTCTGTGGTGGTGTTTTTTTTAAATACATGTTATTTAGCTGCATCCATATACTTCTTAAGGAGTGTTGGTTTGATTAAAAAAAAGGTTGCTTAAAAAAAGCAAAAAAACCCCCAAACTTCTTTGGTTAAGTCCACTTATGTTTTAGTATTTGTGAAATCCTTAGCTTATTTTATTTGATCCAGTTATATAGAAACAACATTTCTTTCACTTGTGAATTTAAAAGATTGTCTGAATTCTAATACTTGATGTTTTGTTTAGGTATGTTCCTCCTGAACAAGCGAAAGTCGTGGCATCTGTCCATGCATCTATATCTGGGTCTTCAGCTAGTAGTACAAGCAGCACACCTGAGGTTAAACCACTTAAATCTCTCTTAGGAGAGACAGCACCAGCCCTGCACTTGAATAAGAGCACACCGAGCCAAGTGAGTAATTTTCAGGAAATTTTTATGGTTTATTCTGTAAGGTTAAAATAAATGCCACAAATGAGAAATATTTATGACACAAATGTCATTGTTTTTCCTATTATTGTTAAATTTAATGATTGCTAACATTCATAGTATTAATGTCATAAGATTCAATTAAGCAGTACATATACATAATTAAGATTGAAGGCCATTAAGTGTAGATGTTTTTAACTTTTTGTCCTTAAGTATGGGAGATACATACCCCTATCCAGTTGCCTCAGAAATCTGTAGAAATATAATACAAATTTTCCTATAGCTATAGTAATTTTATTCTTACAGGAAACTTTAAAATATTATATGTTTTATTACCTTTTATGATTTCCACCATTCCTTAGTTGGTTAAGAATTCTCTCTTAAGGCATGGTTGTAAAAGGTACCTCCTTCCACTTTCTGAAATTTAAAAAAAGTGACCTTTTATATTTAGGCCATGTATTTGAGGCTTGGTATGTACTATATCATGCTTATCTAAATCTATTTTTTGTCAAACCTGCCTACTAGTTTTTAGGATATGTAGCAAATGGCATGAATGAGACATGGGCACTATTATTTTCAATCTGTAGATGAGGACATTACGCCTCAAGTTATTTAGTTGATTTACTCAGGTAATTTTTTTTTAAATTAAGTAATTTATTTGTTTTTACTTTTCAACATTCATTTCCACAACGTTTTGAGTTCCAAATTTTCTCCCCCATCTCTCCCCTCTCCCCATTCCAAGACGGTGTGCATTCTGAATACTTCTTCCCCTAATCTGCCCTCCCTTCTATTTTCCTGTAGGGCAAGGTAGTTTTCTGTACTCCATTGCCTGTATATCTTATTTCCCAGTTGCATGTAAAAACAGTTTTTTAACATTTGTTTTTAAAGCTTTGGGTTCCAAATTCTCTCCCTTCTTCCTTCTCTACCCTCATTGAAAAGGCTTATACTTGTGTAGTCATGCAAAACACTTCCATAGTAGTCATGCTGTTAAAAACTAACTATATTTCCCTTTATCCTATCCCATCCCCTGTTTATTCTATTCTCTCTTTTGATTCTGTCACTCTTCAGAAGTGTTTGCTTCTCCCCCAGTCTTGCCCTCCCCTCTCTCATCTCCCCTCATTTCTCCTTCCCCCCAAGATAGATTTCCATATGCAATTGAGTGTGTATGTTATTCTCTCCTTAAGCCAGATTGGATGAAAATAAGATTCACTCATTCCCTTTTACCTTCCCCCCGCTTTCCCTCCACTGTAGAAGCTTTTTCTTGTTTGTTTTATGTGAGATAATTTACCCCATTCTACCTCTCCCTTTCTTCTTCTCTCAGTATAATCCTCTCTCACCCCTTCATCTTCAACTCACCCTGTGCCCTCTATCTATATATTTATCTATATATACATGTATTTTTTTTTTCTCCTTCAACTATGCTAATACTGACATAGGTCTCATGAGTTACAAATATCTTTCTGTGTAAGAATGTAAAGAGTTCAACTTTAATAAGTCCCTTGAGATTTCTCTTTCCTGTTTACCTTTTCATGCTTTTCTTGTGTATCTTGTATTTGAAAGTCAAGTTTTCTATTCGGCTTTGGTCTTTTCATCAAGAATGCTTGAAAGTCCTCTATTTCACTGAATGTCAATTTTTCCCCCTGAAGGATTATACTCAGTTTTGTTGGGTAGGTGATTCTTGGTTGTAATCCTGTCTCCTTTGCCCTCTGGAATGTCATATTCCAAGCCCTCCAGTCCCTTAATGTAGAAGCTGCTAAATCTTGTGTTACCCTGATTGTGTTTCCACAGTACTTGAATTGTTTCTTTCTGGCTGCTTGCAATATTTTCTCCTTGACTTGGGAACTCTGGAATTTGGTTATAATATTCCTAGAGGTTTTCCTTTGGGGATCTCTTTCAGGAGGTGATTGGTGGATTCTTTCCATTTCTCTTTTACCCTCTGGCTCTAGAATATCAGAGCAGTTTTCCTTGATAATTTCTTGAAAGATGATGTCTAGGCTTTTTTTTTTTGATCATGGCTTTCAGATAGTCCAATAATTTTTAAATTCACTGTCCTGGATCTATTTTCCAGGTCACTTGTTTTTCCAATGAGATATTTCACATTGTCTTCCATTTTTTCATTCTTTTGGTTTTGTTTTGTAATGTCTTGATTTCTTATAAAGTCACTAGCTTCCAATTGCTCTATTCTAATTTTTAAGGAAGTATTTTCTTCAGTGAGCTTTTGGACTTCCTTTTCCATTTGGCCAATTCTGCTTTTTAAGGCATTCTTCTCCGCACTGGCTTTTTGGACCTCTTTTGCCATTCAGGTTAGGCTATTTTTAAAAGTGTTATTTTCTTCAGCATTTTTTTGGGTCTCCTTTTGTTGACTTGTTTTTTGTGATTTTCTTGCATCATTCTCATTTCTCTTCCCAGTTTTTCTTCTACTTGCTTCTCAGAATCCTTTTTGAGCTCTTCCATGGCCTGAGACTGATTCATATTTTTCTTGGAGGCTTTGGATGTAGGTGTTTTGATTATGTGATCTTCTTCTGGTTGTATGTTTTGATCTTCTTTGTCACCAAATAAGATTCTGACTTTTTTTTTGCACTGTTTTCTCATTTTCCCAGCCAATTACTTGAGTTTTAAACTTTTTTTTAAGGTAAGGGTCTGCTTCCAGTGTGAAGAATGTACTGTCTCCTACTTAGGGGGTTTTTGTGCAGCTGTTTTCAGAGATACTTCTGGGGACCTGTAAATTTTCAGTTCTTCCAAGGTGGTATGATCAAAGATGAAGCGTTTATTCCTTTCCTGGCCTGTGCTCTGGTCTGTGAGTGACCACAAGCACTCTTTTCTGCCTTGGAACTGTGAGGAGGATTTCCTCAGAAACTCCACGACACCAGCACTCCTCCTTGCCCCAGGACCACCACCCAGAACGGTGACCCAGATCCAGGCATGGGCAAAGCGAGAGATTCCTGCCTCAGCACCAGCAAAGAGATCCTCTGATCAGCTGCTTCATCCCCCTCCGTCTGTGGGCTAAGAGCTCCAGAAGCAGCTGCCACCCTCGAGTTGTGCCAAGATCGGGGCAGAACTAAGCTCCTGCTTCACCTCAGTCATAGACTTTTCCTGCTGACTTTCTAAGTTGTCTTTGGTGTTTGTGGGTTGAGAAGTCCGGAAACCGCCACAGCTGCCTGTGATTCAGTCCCCTGAAGCCTGGTCTTTGCCAGTGTGCCCAGGCTGAACTGCACAGTAGATCTTTCCAATCAACCATCCAGGTTGTCTTGGGCTGGAAATTTGTTTCACTCTGTCTTTTTGTGGGTTCTGCTGCTCTAGAATTTGTTTAAAGCCATTTTTTTATAGCTATTTGGAGGGGTTTGGGGGAGAGTGCAAGCAAGTTACTGCTTTTACTTTGCCATCTTGGCTCCAGTGTCCCGTGAGGTAATTTCTAAGGATCTATTCCAGTTCTAGAGTCTTATGTTTCTAAGTCATGGGGACATTTCTACAAAAAAAAAATACTCCTTGGAATCTAGAGCTGGTTTTGTTTGTTCTCATCAACCTAAAATTGTATCATAACCCTTTCATAGGATCATAAATTTGGAATTGGAAGGGTCATTAAAGACATCTACTCTAAATGTTTTGTTGATGAGGAAACTGAGACCCAGGGAAGGGAAGGGACTTTTCCAGTGTTTGTTTGTCAACGAACCTTTATTAAATGTCTGTGACAAGTCACATACTGAATGCTGAGTGCTAAGGATGCAAAGAAAGGTCAAAGACAGTATCTATACTCAGTGAACTCACAGTCTAATGGTGGAGACAAATAATGATGCAAACAACTATGTACAAACAAGATATATACAGGATAAATTGGAGCTATTCAGCAGAGAAACAATACTGATATGAAGGGGATTAGGAAAGACTTCTTGAAGAAGATGAAATTTTAGCTGAGACTTTAATGAAACCAAGGAAACCAGGAGGTGGAGATGAGGATGAAGAGAATTCTAGGGCAGTGGGACAACCAGTGAAAATACATGGAGTTGGGAGACATGTAGTGTCTTTTGTGAGGAACAGCCAGTGTTGCTGAGTAAGGTTTAAGAAGACTGGAAAGGTAGGAGTAGACCAGTTTATGAAGGGCTTTGAAATTCAGAGGATTTTATTGAATAGGAGATTACATATTCATACCTGAGCTTTGGGAACATTAGTTTGACAACTGAGTGGAGGATAGACTGTAGTGGGGAGAGACTTGAGGCAGACAGAACCACCAGCAGACTATTGCAGTAGTCTAGGCATGAGGAGGTGAGAGCTTACACTAAAGTGGCAGTATCAGAGGAAAGAAGGGAGCTTATATGAGAGATTAAGAAGGTAAAGTCAACAGACTTTGACAACAGTTGGATATGGAAGATGAGATAGAGTGAGGAGTTGGATGAACCTAGATTGAAGGCCTGGAAGACTGGGAGGATGGTAGTACCCTTTACCAGTAATGGGAAAATTCAGAAGAGGGGAGGCTTTAGAGTGAAAAGTATTAAGTTCACTTTGGGCATGTTGAATTTAAGATGTTAATGAGACATACAGTTTGTGATGTGTAATAACCAGTTGGAGATTCAAGACTGCTAGCCCAGATAAAGGTTAGGGCTGGATAAGAAGATCTGAGAATTATCATCCTAAAGCTCATAATTGCATCTTTGGGAGCTGATGGGCTTACTAAGTGTAATATAATGGTGGGAGAAGACAAGAGGACCCAGGACAGAACCTTGGGGAACACCCATGTTAATATGACCTCAACTAAGATCCAGCGAAGGAGATTGTAGAATGGTCAGGGAGAGGGTGGGATTTGCTGAGCAGAATGTTCTCTTTTTATTGAAGTACTATTTCAGTTCCTTAGTGTAATCAGGAAGAGGCTTGATATGCTGTTGTTTTTGATCATTAAAAGTTCCAGGGCATTAGTGGTGTCAAGGCTTTTCTTCCTTGTTGACTTAGTTGATGATGGATTTCTGCTATTTTGATGGTCAAGCTATTGAATTAAACAGTGTCATGTACTTTTACTACTTGCTCTTCAAGTTGAAAGAAACTTTAAAAATTTTAAGTCACCAACTCTGTTTAACAAAGGTAGGATTTTTGTTTAGGTTATAGTTGAATCAGATGATTCTGAAGTTTCTTTGAACTCAGAGGTTCTGTGAAGATTGTACTACTTCATGATGTAGAAATTTGGTCTGGCCTGGGCTCATGATAGAAGGCAGAGTTACAAACTAGCACATTGTCTTCACAGCCGTATGGTAGAGTGGGACAGTTGTCCAACTTGCATAGTTGGAAAATTATGAAGTTTTTATAATTCAAAGCACTTGTGTAATTTGTTATAGCATAGAAAAATAATAGACTCAGATTTTGACTTAAGTGTGTTTTGAGTCTGTCTCTACTCCCTCCACAACTCTCTGGAAGAGGGCTTTTTTTTTTAATGAGAGAATGGCTAGAGAGGTTGTCTTTATCATAGTATGGTCTTGACTAAAGCTCAGCCTCATAGTAGGGATTTACAGTATTGTGTTAAAGTAATGATTGTTTATGGTCGGAAAAGAGCATTAAAAGGCTTGGGAATCAGGAGGCTTTAGTTTTGGCTTCATCACTCATTAGTTGTGATGCTTTGGGTAACTCACTATCTGTAGCTCATTTTACTCACCTGTCATTTAGTCAGACAATGAGCAATGAGCCCATACTATGGCGAGTTTTACCAATGAATTGTAAAACCAAAATGAGGAAATTGTGGTCTTTGACAGAATGATTAAAACAACAAATCCACTTGAAATGACTTGTTCTTAAAAATATGTTAAATTTTGTGGATGAGCGATAGCATCATTTAAAATTTCGGTAAAGCAAATTGGAGAAGATTTCTTTATTTACAGCTGGTATTTTATTTGTAGTCCCCTGTTGTAGTTCGCTCTCAAGGACAACAGCAGCCAGAGAAGAAGCAGTTTGACCTCCTGAGTGACCTTGGCTCAGACATCTTTGCTGCTCCAACTCCACAGTCAACTGCTACAGCAAATTTTGCTAACTTTGCACATTTCAACAGTCACACAGGTGAGATCTTTGTGGGATGATAGCTGCCTCAAAAATATACTGGGCTTAAGAAGCGTTTATCCTTGATAATATGGGTGCCATGTGTTTTTTTCAATACAAAGAATTCACTGACTTCAGTGTACTTAGGGATGTTGTGTCAGTCATTCCAGTTCAGGTTTAGTTTATTGGTTTGATAGTTAAATAGTTTCATCAAACGAGTCATGATTAAAATTTGGATTCTTATTTTAATGTATCCATTTATGGAACCTGTAAGATTTTTTCCTATATTTTGTTAACTATTGTTAGTACCAGACGATTTTGTTGAAAGGCTTCATTGATGAATAGAAGGTATACAAAAAGAATTAAATACTTTTAACTTGATTAAAAAGTAGGTGAAAATTTTCCTTTGGGAATGAATGTGGATAAGTCTCAAGTAAAGAACAAAGACAAACATGAACCTTTAAATTTTTTTATTTTGAAAATCTAGTTGATAGGTTTATTTCTTGGCATAAAGTGACTTTTAAAATTCTGGGTCCTAGTACCATAAATTGGAGTATTGGGAATTCACCTTATCTAGCTCTAAAGGTCTTTTTATTTAGCCTATTTTCTTTAGTTAGGGCTCCATATCATCTCCTAGATCTATTATCATCTAAACTATTCTTAAATTTCTCCAGGTCTATGTCTGTATTTGGGCACTTTCAGGAATTTTGTTTCTGAGCTAAATTTCCCTTGCTTTAGTGCAGATTTTCTGAATTTACATAATTTTGGTTTCCCTTTATTCTTTTTATTTTTTTTCCCTTTCAAATATCAAGGTAATATAAATATTCTATTTTTTAAAGGACAACATTTGACATTTATATAGGATAGATCAGGCAGTTTAAATTACTATCATTTAAGTATTGTATTAGATAATGAGGGAGGAAACCAAAGATTAATCAGATACAGCCTTCTCCCATAAAGAATGTATAAGCCAGTGCACAAGAAAATAGAATACGAAGTAGAATTATGAATCCATGATAGAAGTAGGAAACAAAATGAAATAAGGTTTAGGAGCAGGGAGAGGTAACTTTATTGCCACATCAGGGAGTATGTCCTTCCATATGTGTGATCAGTAGACCTTAGAGACATTAAACTAAATGGAAAGCACTAATTAAAAGCTTTTTGTTTTCAGACTGCCATTTTGAGGCCAACTTAGAATCTCTCCTGCACTTTTCTGTATTGCCTGGCCATGTATAGGAATATTGCTGAAACTCATTCTTGCTCCTTTGTCATTTGATTTCATAATTTTTGGGCTAGAGGAAAAGGAAGTCTGCATCTTTCAGAAATATGTCCAACATGATTTATATGAGACTTGTAAACTAATGATTCCTAAACTTCCTTGTTTTTCTTTTGTGTGTGATTTGAGCCACTTGAATTCTTGGAATAAATACATTCTGATCTGTAATGGGACAGAAGAACATTGGAGGTTCTGAGATACTTTTCTTTTTGTTGATATCATTTCTGAACAGCAGAAAGCCGAAAGAATTTAAGTATCTTACTTTAAATTCCCCAAGTGAGCACTAGTTTTGTTTTTGTTGTTGTTAGGCAATTGGGGTTAAGTGACTTACCCAGGGTCACACACCTAGTAAAGTGTCAAGTGTTTGGTCTGAGACCAGTTTTGAACTCAGGTCATCCTGACTTCAGGACTGGTGCTCTATCCATTGGGCCACCTAGCTTGTTGGTTTTTTAACTAAAATACACAACTCTGGGTCTTACCTGTTATGCTAGACTGGTGCTTTATGACCCTTTGGCTGGCTGAAGTTGGAGTTTTTAACCTGAAAAGTTCAGATGGTCTTGTTTCTCACCATATATAATATTTTGTCATGAATTAAATTCTGGTTTCAGCTTTGTTTGGATTTAGTCTGTAGTCATATTTTGAGTTTCTCTCTGCTTATCACTTAATTAAATACCAGATTTCTAAAATCAGTCAGCTAACTAGCATTTATTAAACCTTCTGTGTGCCAGGCATTTTTTCTAGGTCCTGAGAATACAAAAAGAGAAAACAGTTCTATTCTCAAGAAGATGACTTCAGGGGCAGCTAAGGGGCACAGTGGATAGTGCTCTGGCCTTGAACTCGGGAGGACCTAAGTTTAAATCTGGTCCCAGACACTTGACAGTTACTAGCTGTGTGACCCTGGGCAAGTCACTTCACCCTGATTGCCTCAAGATTACTTGAGTGACAGCTTAAGATTATCTTCATATTATATTTTTTAAAAAAAGTTATAAAATGAGTTAATAAGTATGTTCATAGACTTCAGGGTAACCATTATTATGCCCATTTTAGGTTTTTTCATATTTCTTAAATGTGGCAGTTTTGAACAAATGGTTAGAATTTCAGTCAGCGTTTAGCATTACTGAACTCTTTAAATGTAAAAGGCCATCATTTAAGGAGATAAAGTACCACATTTCTTGTGGGTGCAGATTTTAGCCTTTTGGAGACTTTTTCTACAGAGAGGCAAAAATAGCTTTTGAAAGAAAATCTAATGTCTGCGTATGCTTCTAAAGATACAGAGTTACCTCCCTTATTTGTAAAGCAGAGTCTCATTGGAGTGCCTAAGTTCTGTATCTTGCAAGTGGATTGTAATTTAAAAGTCTTTTTTTCTTCTTTGCCTGATTCTTTTAAACTTGGATGTTAAATGAAGGCTGTGTGTATATGGGTATGCACATGTGCACACATATGTCTATTATAGAATATACATACAAAGTACACAGATAACAAGCAGTGACTAATGAAACCAGTCCTGTAGTCCCTCAGGGCCTTGTGCCATTAGCATGCTGCAGTCTTGCTCAGAAATAATTTGCCTTGGATTCGATTCTAAATCTGAGTCATTGTTTTTGAGTCAATCTAAAATTCTTTTTCTAGAAGTCCTTGCAAGCAGTATGGGCTATTTTATGTTTTATATTTTGAATAGAACAGATGAAGTTACTGATGGATGACAAAGCTTTCATCACCAGTTTTTTCCCATTTTGTTTTTTTGTTCATTTGATCATATCCTAAATAGATTGATGATCTAGCAGATGGATTAAAATTAGAATTGTCCACAAGAAACAATGTTTATATAAATGTATTTTCTGAAGGAAACATGAATTTCTTTTTCAGATGAGTTAATTTGAGTAGTTCACATGTCAATATCCTTTTTATTTTTTTTTATACTACTAACATTTTTAAAATATTCTCATTAATTCTTATCTGAGTGGTTAACATTTTGGTTTATTATTGTTAATAACTAACATTATTCTTATCTTTGAATTTGTCCCTTCCTCTTCTGCTACCCATCAAGCCATTCCTTGGAACAAAGAACAAAAAAAGGGAAAGAAAAAAAAGCAGCTCAGCAAAGCCAAAATATTCACAATCTCTACAGTAGATGAAATATTTTACACCTGTAGTCACTAATTTCTGCAGTTAGTGGGGAGATGTGACTTTCAGCTTTTTTCCTGGAGCTAACACATTTTCATAATCATATACTTTACTGAAAGGTGCAGAGAATGCAAGATTTGATGATTATTAAGAAGAAAAAAATTCACAGCTCCACTACCAATGTATTACTTGGTTAAGAAGCTCTTTCCTCAGGGCAGCCAGGTGGTGCAATGGATAGAGCACTGGCTCTGGAATCAGGAGGACCTGAGTTCAAATCCAGCCTCAGATATGTAACTTAAGTAACTGTGTGACCTTGGGCACACAGTCATTTAACCCCTGATTGCCTCACCAAGAAACAAAAAAAATCTCTTTCTTCACAACAACCTTGTGAACTGAATCGTACAAGTGTATTATTACACCCTCCCACCTCCACATATAGATTAGGAAACTGGGACTCAGACTAAGTAGCTTTTGCCAGAGTCATAATAGCTGGGAAATTTCAGAAGCAGAATTCAACCTCTGGTCTTCTTTCCACTCTTTCCAACTCTAGTCAGAAAGGAAGTTGACCTGTAGTTAATAAGCAGATAATTTACACCTGAATAGGGCCCGAGAGAACATTTAATCTAGGTATTCTTAACCTGGCGCCTATTAACTTTTATAAAGTATTGTGATTACTATATTTAAATATCATTGGTTTCCTTTGTCATGCTCTGTATTTTATTGTATGCATTTAATGACATGATTCTGAGAAGGGGTCAGTAATTTTCATGAGATTTGCCGAGGATCCGTGACATGCAAAAAAGAGGTAAAGAAGCTCTCATCCTGTCCATCCTTTTTATTTTATATGAGGAAACTGAGGCTCAGAGAATCTAAGTAATTTGCCTAGGGCCTAGTAATTTAGCTGGAAATATTGCGTAGGTCTCCTGAACTCTTTCTAATTGCTCTCTTTTTTTTACTCTAACATGATGCTTTCTTATGGACTCAAGTTGGTTGTCTCCTATTCAGCCCGTCACCTTCAGATATATATAAATGTGGCCATGAAGCATAATTTAAAGGTAGAATTTTAAACTTTTAAATTATTGCTTATTTGGTCTAATGTTTAAAACAAAACAAAGGAAGAGTGGCTTTGGAACTTGGTCTCATGGTTACCCCTTGTATGAATGTTAATGCCACTGCTTCACATACTTAATTTGATCATCCCAACAACCCCTTTAAGGCAAGTTCTATTGGAGGTACAGGCTGAGAAAGTTAGTAGTTGGCTGATCCTTGGGAGAGGTACCAAATCAGGTAGGGTTGGTCCTCTTTTGTTCTGCTGCTCCTCCATTGGACATCAAAGAATAATCAATTTAGAACTGGAGTATGTTTAGAAACATTTGGGCCAACCCTGTTTTTTAAGTCAGACATCTGACTTAAAAATTAATTTTTGGTCTACCATTTGTAAATTGGGAATTGAAATTACATTCTCCTTATTCGTTTTCATAAGAAACTATATGGGGGGTTGTTATGGCCCTTATCAAGTTACACTAGTCAGTGAAAGATAAATGCTAGTTTTATTTGTCATTCTTTTATTTCTAAGCCCTGGAAGAACCTTCTCTTCTTTTTACCATGGGTGTTCTCTTAACTCTTTAGTTCAACAAAAGTTAATTATGCCTCTGTGATACATATAGAACACACTCTACTGGGTAGTAGGAATGTAAAGACAACAGCTGGGTAGTAGAAGTCCCAGTTTCCTAATCTACATAGCTACTTCCTTCAAGTAGCTTATGTTCTGTTGGAGGAAACAACATGAATAAAAGGAAGGATGGAATAAGGAAGGGAAGAAGGTTGGGAGCATTTATTAATGTGCTAAGTACTGCAGATAAGGAGCTTTACACAGATAAATAAAAACAAAATAAGTTGAGGAGAGAGAGTACTAACAGTTGCGGAGAATCAGAATAAAGATTTTATGTAAGAAGGAGCACTCAAAGAAAGGTACAGATTCTCAGAGATGCCATCAAGAAAGGATTTTCTCCCAGGAGAAGAGCATGGTGTTCAAAGGCACAGAAAGATTTGAGGGTGTAAGATATTGTACTAAGTTTTGAAGTTAAAAAGAGAGGTAAGGATAGTAGCTGCCCTCAACAGGCTTACTGTCTATTGAGGGAGGCCATGAATAAATAACTTGTAAATTACATGCAGAGTAGTTGGAAGGTAACCTGAGAGGAGGGCATTAGCAGCGAGGTAGGACCTAGCCTCCTTTACAAGATGAGATTTGAACTGAGTCTAGAAGAAAGTGGGGAAACTCAGTGATGGCAGTGAGGGGGCAGAACATTCCAGAATTTGGAGATAGCCAGTGCAAAGGGACAGACAGGAGATGGCCTGTCATATTTAGGGAATTGTAAGTAGGCCAGTGTTGCTGGATGGTGGTGTGGTAGTTTGTAGAGAGGAATAAAGTGAGAGACTGTTTAAAAATTTGCTAATATTTTATGGTGTTGGATTTTTCAAGAATTGCAAATTTTAACACATAAATTGTATCCCACACTACTGTGAGGTATTTCGGAAGCCACAATATAGTTGAGTCCTTTCCCTCCTTTTAAAAGAAGCCACTTTATTTGCTTTTTGTAGTTTTATTTGTTGAAAGACATTAATTACATCACTGAGAAACAAATATCATGTGTGGCTCATGAAAAATTATCAAGAACAAAGTGTAATAAGCAAAGTATTGTGACTCTTTCCTATTGTAATTCCAAAGGTAGAAAGGAGAAATAACAGCAGATGTAGATTAAAAAAAATGATAACCTTGAGGCCATTATCTTCCCCACCCCCCACCCCCAAGTTTTCCTCTTCCAAGAAACTGCTCTTTCCAAAGAAGATTCTTCTCCAGGTGAGCACATTTAAGCATGGGATTTCTCTTAATCAGTATCCTAATCTTCTGTGACACCCACCCTGACGCATCTTGTTCTACTGTCTTGCTGTCCTTCATTTTGAGGAAAATAGCTTAAATTGTTTTTCAGAGTTTAAATAGGTGTTTTCAAATTTCTCTTGTCCTTAATTTTTAAATATTAGTATCCATTTTTCTGATAATTGTTTGAAGATGAGTGGCCGTATTGCAATCATAATTTATATAATTGGGATGACAGCCATTAAAGTGTGGCCATCTTGCCAATATTTGTGTTATTTTAATAGTGTTTTAATTAAATATATGTAAACCCTTTCAAAATCCTATTCTATGACCATAGAAAGGAAAAGGAAATCTCTTCATAATTTTAGATTTTATGAAACAAAAATAAAATAAAAAATACTTTATGCAGTGTTATTACAGTGCTTGAATCCACTAAGCTGCTTAGAACTGTACCATTTTTTTAAAGACACTGAGTATTATATCTTCATGTTTTCTTTATCATCACATTTAACATTCTATCTTCAGAGTTTCATATCATTTACCAGATTAGTTACATGAAGCAGATATGTTCCCCACTAAGTGAAGAGGTTTAACATCACAGGAAATGGCGAGAATTTCTTTGGGTAAAGTTGCATAAATTTGTTTCAGTAAAAGCCTGAGCTAGACCTTTAAGAATTAGGTGATGCTGTAGTGTATAATTAACTTTATAGTGTAATGTAAATTGTGGTTCACACAAAGATTTTCCCAAATACCATAAGTTCATTTGTCATCTGTTTCCTTTTGTTTTCTCTTTTCCATATTCATTAACATGTCTTGTTCCTTGCCGTTTACAGCTCAGAATTCTGCAAATGCAGATTTTGCAAACTTTGATGCATTTGGACAGTCTAGTGGTTCGAGTAATTTTGGAGGTTTCCCCACAGCAAGTCACTCTCCTTTTCAGCCCCAACCTACAGGTAGAGCTATGTAGCATTATGCTTAACTATTTGTTTTATTATTATTATTTTTTTAATAAAAAATCTCTCTAGATGTAAATTTTAAAAAAATTATTCATAAGTTCATTTTACATAATTACTTGGCTTAACACAATCCTGCCTTATGCAGCTCTGGGGAAACCTAAAATGAACAGTTTTTCTTTTTCTTTTCCTGGGCTTTTATAAACCATAATTCATAACATATTGTCTCCCTTTTTCCTACACATTAAGGCTATTAAAAACTTTTCTCTGACCTATTGAAGCTTTCACATAAAAGAGTTTTTTGTTCAATTTTGTTTTATTGCTTTGTTTGATCTCATATCTCTGTAAGGGAAATTGGATAATTTCTTCTTTTGTCACCATGAAAAACAAATCTAATTTTAATTACTCAAGCCAGAAATGTTAGAAAACAGAAAAGATTTACATTGACCTCTTACTTTGCAGAAGACTTTGTGTGTAGGAACTGGTGTTTAAATTCTGAATTCCTTTCTCAAATTCTTGTTTTTAAAATTCATTTAACGATTGCTGTTTGGCTAAATCTTTGGCTTATTGCTTTCCTTTCAACTTTGTATATTGAGTTAAACATTTTCTTTTAATTTTATTTTTTCCATTCTCCTTCCCCTCCTTTATAATTTCACTCCAAATTATTTCTGGCCATCCAGCATTTAGAATGCTTTCATCCAGCTGCAGTTATGGGGACTTTACTTCAGCTTTTCCTCTCCAGGCTGTCCACAGTAAGTCCTAACATCATGTAGGAAGTCTAACTTGTGTTTTGTGCTATATTTCTTTAACATTTCATTTATTTAGTTTTACTTCTTAATTCATTGCTCAATTCATCTTTTAAAAATTATAGTTCACATTCTAAATTTTATTCAGCCCATTCCTATATGTTACTAAATTCATTTGGGGAACCCAGTAATATATCTACAAGAAAATAAGTAAGGCAAAATTACATTGAGAGCCAAATAAAATTTATTTTGGTAGGAATAGTAGTGTTTTAAGGATTATAAACCAGCCTTTTGAGACAGATAAATAGGTAGTACAAACATTGTCCTTATTTTATAGCTGGAGGAAACGTGTTCAAGAAGTATTTAGGATCTTGGATTTAGAGCTGAGAAGTTGCTCAAAGGTCAAGTCCAACTCCTGCTCATCTTACACATGAGGAAATTGAGGCCCAGAGAGGTTTTAAAAGTGCTTACCTTGCCCAAGGTCCCATAAAGAGTAGGTATCAGAGCTGAGGTCAAAGACCTAAAAATATGATAGCTGGCGGGAGCTAAACACCATACCTAACAGAGTTAACAACTTATAATTTAAGGACTAAATGAAAACTTGAGAGGGGCCTTCTTATTTCAACTGGTATCCCCATTGATTTCTTGCCTAAGTAGCCCCCGAGGACTTGGCTTGCTGGAGTTTCATTATTACCTCCCCCCATCTTTTCTGTTCCATTTTTGCTGGCAAGAAGAGTTTCCCCTGTACCCCTTTTCTCCAACAGCCTGGAAACAGGATGGAGCCCTTATTTTACAGCCCTACTAAAGCAAATAGGCACCTTCCATGCAACCTAGAGTCTTAGAGTTACCTGGAGGTCAGTGTTTTCAGTGGTCATACAGCCATTAATGTAAGAGATAAGACATAAAACCTCCAGGCCAGCTTTCTGTTTGCCTCTCAGCAAAAATATACAGTGACTAAAATAATTTTAAAAAGACAAAAATTACCAAGTTATATGTCTTGATTCTGTGGGCCAAGGCTCAAGGAACTAGATCTTATTCTTATTTAACTTTCCCTCTTATGATTTCCTTTCTTTCAGATATTGTTGTTGAAAGCAGTTGTCCTGGGTTCCTGTAGTTTGGTGTCTAGTCAGGTGTCTTGGCCCTTTCAAAATCTGCTTATTGCAACTATAGCTATGACTGTAGGAGCCCCAGGGCTTCAACAGGCATTTTTAGCTTCTTGTCTTCTCCCTCTACTTCCTTCTTCCCATGCCCATTATGCTCTAGTGGTCTTCACTCAGTCTAGATTATCTGGCCATAGACCCGTTACAGTTCTATATTTACCCTAGTCTCCCTAGATATCCTTCAAGATTTGTTTTCCTTGAGCTTTATCCATTCTGTACTTAGCTTGACAATTGTTGCTTTCTGAAATCTCAGTGGCTTTGGAAAGAGACTAACATTTTCTCCCTACCCTTTTCCCTTTCTCAAACTTATTTGTTTTTCCTCTGTTTTTTTCTCCCTTTCCTCCCCACCGTTTTACTCCTCTTTTCTCTCCTTCCTCTTCTCTACCCTTTCTCTCTCCTTTTTCTTTCCTTTCCTTCCCTTTGTCTCTTCTTTTTTTCCTTCTCCTACCTCATCTTTCTGTTACTGTTCTCACTTTTTCCCTTCTCTCCTACTTTTTTCTCTTCTCACCCACGCCTCCTCCCCCCCCTTTCCATTGGATCCTGGAATTTCTGTTCTGGTTGACTCATTGAAGCATTATTTGTTAGGAACATATGATCATTGCTTCTGCCCTTTTTTGGGTAAAGTTAGCTACTCAACTCTACTGTTGTAGACTGGCATTTGGACTCCCTCTAAAGGTCATGTAGTTCTGGAACCATATGATCTAAACCATCATGAGTTTCTCTAAGACCCCATATTGCTTATTGTCATAGCTTTGCTTCTACTCTTCCCGCGCCCCACTTCCCTTGCCTGGATCCCATCTAAATTGATAGACATCAATTTAAATTGATAAGGTTTCCACTAAATTCCTTTTCCTGGAATTCATTGACCCATTCACTGACATTATTATGAAACACTGGATTTTCTGTTTCTGATATAGCTGCTTGCTCTGCCTCCCAGATTAATCCTCACGTGACCCTTCCCATGGATTCCTTCTTCTCTCTTTTTAAGAAGGAAAAATAACATATAACAAATAACATAAAAATGTCTCTAAAGCGCTACTGCTGAGGGACAACTATAATTTGTTTTGAAATTTCTAATTTATTGATGTATTTTAATAATTTTTTTTCCTAAAAGGAGGAATACTTTCCTCCCTTTTTAGAAGTATAAGCTTGGTAATCCAAATATTTTGCTTTCTTGTTTTTAAGCTGATTGAGTGGCTATAGCTCAACTAAACTGCTTCAGAATGATTTGAAATCTAAGGCTGAATGGAGTATATGAGATTAGAATTGTCAAAATGCCCAGACCTTTGACAGTCCTGTAAAGTAGACCTTAAGGGTTTGCTCTAGACTTCTATGGGCATATGTGAAAATTGCTATTAATGCATGTATGATTTTTTTTAATGAGAAGTGATGTCATTGACAAGGGCAGTAGTTATCAAACTTTTTATAGATGTTGATATTTATTGTATTTGAAATTAAAACATCTCAATATTGTTATGTAAATCGTTTTGACTTCTTGGACCTTTGACTTGTCCAAGGTCACCCAGCTAGTATGTGTCAGAGGCAGAACTTGAACCCAGACCTTCCTGACTGAGGTCAGCTGTCTTTGAATTGTGGCATGCTGCCTTTTATATGTGTGTATGCATCTATAAAATATGAGTATATATGTATATATACACACACTTGTGTGTGCTATATATGTATAAATGACAGTTATGTATAAACCGTACATACATATATATTGTAGACCAAAAGGGCTTTTTCTTTTCCTGCAACATGTGTTCGTTCTCAGTCTTGGAGTGTGGTATACATTAGAATAATTACATGAAATTCAACATTAGTACCTCTACAAATGAAACAAATCTAGGGATTCTGAACGACTAGACCAAATAATTCTAGGTCAAAACAAAACATCTTTCATACTTTGTTTAATGGACTAAGTATTTGTTTAAGCTGTATCTCCATATGAAATTCGCAAAGAACTTTAACTTTCAAGTAGCATATTTTACCTCTTTTCCAAATTTTTAGTTTGAAAACAAAAAAAAATCTATCTTTAGTACAGTTGGTGAATATTATAAATAATATAACTGCTTAGGTAGCACATTAATTTTTGTAGCTTAGAAAATGAAAAGTTAGGGTAGAAGTATGTACTCTTCATTTTATGACCATCCTGAAAATTAAGATGTACAGACTATGTAAATTCACGTTAAGAAGATTGAAAATCATTTCCACATAGTAAAACTTAATTTTAAGGATGTAGGTTACATTCAGATAAACAATTATATTGTCATATCTGAGAATTTTGGGAAAAGACCATATAAAATGTAAGTATTTTTATTTCATTACAGGTGGAAGTGTGGGATCAGTAAATGCTAATTTTGCCCATTTTGATAACTTCCCCAAATCCTCCAGTGCTGATTTTGGAGCCTTCAATTCTTCCCAGAGCCATCAAACTGCAACAGCCATCAATAAAGTTGTAACGAAAAAAGCTAATCTTCAGACAACTGACAAATATGCGGCACTTGCTAATTTAGACAATATCTTCAGCACTGGGCAAGGTACTAAGCTTAAAGAAAATTCCCAAGTCCATGTGTGTTGTAAATGCAGATGTGTTCGTTCATTAAATCTTGGTTTTGAAAAAGCAGAGTTTACCTTGCTAAAGATTTTGAGGTAATTTTGAAAATTTACCTGAGGAATTTCAGACAGAAGACACTTTAAAGTTTTAATAGTCCGTTAAGCCTTCTTTGGAAATTTGACACAATTCATTTAGTACCATCAGCCATTTTTCTTGGTTGATTATATTTGATTCATTCTCATAAAGTCAGTTATGTTGCGTAAGAGGTTATCTTTACACACATTTAAGTAAATGAAGGAAAAAGCCACCAGAGTCTCATAATTGTGGAGTCCCAGGGCTTGAGACTTTAGCTGAACAGCGATAATGTTAATGTTCTTTTAATTGTTTTCATGTCTTTGTCAGGTATGCTATAGTAACCATGAATAGAATTGAAGCAATTAAATGAATGTCATTAGAGTACAAGGTGTACTGAATCTCTTGTACTGAAGTACAAATGAACCATGCTTCCAAATTCCCAAGTCAGAGAGCAGCTCTGATCATATTTAAGAAGTGGATGGCGGTAACATTACTGATTGAAAACCTTAGCATAATCTACCAAAAGCATCTAGTTTTTGCTTTTCAACCACTCTGGAGAGATGACATTCTGAGACAAGTTTTACCATTGATACGTTAGTCTGAAGGGAAGTTTTCACAATTTTAATATGGCTCTAAACCTGCTTAATCAATATCTAAACTTATGACTTACTAGCAGTAACTAATAAAGCAATTTTTACACATCTTTCTAATCTTAACTTTACTTCAGTTGTTTAGCACATTTAAAGATATGCCACTTTGTATGAATTTAGGATTAAAAAAAATATTTGTAGTATAATGCTTTATATTATGGAAACTGAAAATTGGCTAAAATTTCCATTATGTTCCTTTTAAAATCTTAATCTTATTTCTAAAGGAAACATTTTTATTTACATATAGAATTGTAAAGAAGGTTTTTATCTAAAGATTTGACCTTTTGTAGTATCTGTTCTTTGCCCAGATAGTATTCTGGAAACTATCTTAAATCTTATACCATCATTTCCCCATGTACTGGAAATCTGTTATCTTCAAATAATTTATGAAGTTACCCTTATTTAGTATTGATCCTGAAGAGGAGAGTCCAGCTTTTGTGTAACTACTTGAGAGCCATTTGGTCAGGTCTTTTCAAACAAACATCAACAGACAGATGACGTTCCTTAAATGTTATTAACCTTAGTCAGACTCTTTTGGCTGAAGAAAAAAAGTTTACTTATAAGCTATTTGCTTATAAATCTGGGATTTTAGAAGAAAATACTTCCTGGAAATTAAGATATTCCATGAAATCCTGACCAAAAATGTTGCCATTGTAAATGCTTTGATTGTAAATATTTATTTTATTTTAATTTTTGATTTTTAAGCAGTTGGGGTTAAGTGACTTTCCCAGGGTCACACAGCTAGTAAGTGTCAAGTGTTTGGTCTGAGGTCAGATTTGGACTCAGGTCCTCCTGACTTCAGAGCTGGTGCTTTATCCTCTGCGCCACCTAGCTGCCCTGATTCTAAACATTTAAACTGAGGAATCCTGTAGCATTGTTTCTTATATAGATGTCATCCCAAGTAGAAGGCAGTTTGTGATGTAATAATTGCATTTTATGTACTACTTTTCTGATCAAACCTTAACATTCATATACCATTTTTTTTTGTTTTAAATGTATGATTTTATAAGAATTACTATATCGTTACTCAGGATTTTGGTTAAGTCTCAGGGGAGAAATTTTCCTAATAGGAGTATAAGATTAGGAAGTGAAATGGGGCATCTAGTCCAATGCCTCCCCTCATTTTACAGATGAGGAAAATGAAGTGTAAAAACATTAAGTGTCTATAGGTACTAAATGACAGAGTTGGAGTTTGAATTCAAAGCCTCTAGTTCCAAATATAGTGCTTTTTCCACTACAAAATGGAAGTCAGTGACGAAATACATATTAACCAGAACTTTGCTTTATACCTAATGTTTTAGGAGTTTATCCTCCCAATGAGGTGTTTTGTGTGTATGTGTATGTTATAGTATATAGTATATACTACAGCATAGTTATGGTATATAGTATATACATATGTGTGTGTATTGTAGACACAAGTTGTATGATCTCTTTGTGAGAATCAGCTTTAGAGAGAATTTCTGAAATTAACACTTAAATTTGTCAGTAGTATGCTATTCATAGAAATGCTTTTACAGTTCTTAGTTTTAATTGCATAATGCCAGATTTTCCAAGCTGATGTGTGCACTGATCCACCCTGCCCAATTTTTATCAGTTAATAAATTCATACTATGTAATAATAGTAGTTTCATATTTGTATAGCATTTATGGTTAACCAGTTCTCATTATTTTATTCATTCACCAAAATTTATTTTCAAAATCTATGTACAGAGCCACAGTTTTAAATAGTGTTCATTTTATTGGTTCATGAAGGAAGTTTCTTTGCTATTACAAATCCAGCTAACTTTTTAATCTAGGTCTTTAAAAGAAATTTTTAAAATTTTAGGTGGTGACCAAGGAAGTGGCTTCGGCACAGTAGTCAAAGCTCCAGCGGGTGCTGCTGTTTCAACGCCAAGTCAGTCAAATATATCGTCAGACAAGTATGCAGCTCTAGCAGAATTAGACAGTGTTTTCAGCTCAACAGCAACCTCTAGTAATGCATATACTTCTACCAGTAATGTTAGCAGGTACTTTTTCTATTTCAAAGTTACATTTCAACTCTATATGTCAGAAATCCATTACCTCATTGAGACTGTGGTAGTAAATGAGTTTGCCAAGCAATAGAGTATAGGGACAGAAGAGGAGAGGATCAAAATTATAGAGTTGGAGAAAGGATAGGGAACAAGGGAAGGGGTAGTTAGAGAGGCTGAAGGAAAGCAAGAAAGTATGGTATCTCTTGAAGCTTAGGAAGGGTTGTCAATTTGTCAAAAGCTGCAGAGAAGCAAAAGAGTTATCAGATTGAAAATAGACCTTTAGATTCAGCAACGACTAAGTCATTAATGGCATTTAAAAGAACAGTTTGAATGGAGTAGTGCTAGCAGAAACCCAAATGCAAGATGTTGAAGGAGAGAAGAGTATGTGTGGATCATGAAGACGTGGAAGCTTTCAGATATAGGCAACTTTACAAAAAATTTTAGGAATAAAGAGTCAAAGATAAGAGATTTTTAATATTTTTAACTAATGACTACTAGGAAGAAATTTAAGATGCAGGAGAAAGGAGATGACTGCTGGAATAAAGTGCTGGAGGAGGCAGGAAGGAAAAGGAGATAATGGATAGAGGGTATTGGTTTGAGTAAGTAGGAGGGATATTTATTCTGTGAGCAGAAAAAGGGAGAAAAAAGAGAATGATGCTGCTGATGAGGTTTCTGCAACAAAGGAGGTGAGCTTATTGGCCTCATTCTTTGTAGTGAAAGTAGGCTGCTGGGTTATTTGATGTAAGTGTAGGATATGAATATTAAAAGGGAGAGGAAAATATTTAAAGTAGTTATTGTTGGGAACAAGGAAAGGATAAGGGTAAAATTAACAATTATCAGACAGTAGGAAAGACCCAATGAATTTAATGTGCTATGAATCTGTAGTGATTGAAATCAGCTCAACTTTGAGACTTTATCCAGCCAATGCTTGACATCCTTGAAGCAAAAAGAAACCATATAGAAGGGATTGGGATTTGAAGACTCAGAGTGGCAGACGGTCAGTCAGAAGGAGCAAAAGATTTTCAAGTAGTTATAAGTGAGTCAATTAAGTGGTAGACCATGTGGATGAGACTGGGTATGAAAAGGCAAATGGAGCCAGAGTAGGGGACAGTGACTGGTAGAATAATGAATTATGGGATTGAAGATGTTTGCAGAGTAGATTTAGTGTGAGATTACATGAGAGAGTAGGAAAGGTACAAGGATCAAATATGCTTGGAGAATGAATTTCAGAGTTCTAAATCTGGGGGGCAGCACTATTTTCCTTCCAGTAGTCTTCCAGTATGGTAGAGAGGGGAAGGGGTGTTGGCATCAAGGACTTGGGGGTTGAGATTGTTCAGGGAGGGTATCAGCATATTCACTGATATGCTCATGTTTATTACTGACACTGGTGAATAAGCACTCCTGATATAGCAGCTAGTAAATTCTGATATCTGGCAATGAGAATCTTAGGATTTGAGAGATATAAGGAAACTTAAGGATTGTCTCATCCAACTTCCCCATTTCATAGATTAGAGAACTGAGACAAGACCAAGATTAGAATTTTCCCATTCACTTTGTTCAGCATTAAGTACCTACTGTGTGCCTATAGCACTGTTAGGCACTGGAATGCAGGAAAAAATGAAAATGTTCTTTAGAGAATTTATATTTCCTGGAATGAGTATGAAGATGAGACATAGATAAGTAAATACAAGGTAATTTAAGGGAGACACCAATAATACCTGAGGATTGGATACTGTCTTCAACTTTTAGGTTTTTCTTGTAAGTAAACCATTACTGGGGAGGGGGAGAGGGCATGGTATTTCTATTTCTTTTCATTCACTCATTCATTTATCTATCTATCTATCTATCTATCTATCTATCTGTCTATTTAGCTTCTGTTAATATATTTTATTCATTAATGTTTTATTTATTATTTAATTTATTTATTATTAATTTATTACCACAAGTTGCCTTTTTAAGAATTCCCATTAGTTCCTGCATTAAGAGAGAAGTGAAAGTAAAATCAGTTCACTTAGCTTCTCTTTAGTTTAAAAAAAGGCTAAGGTGGGAGGAGAGTTCAGATCAATGACTAAATTATAGGATTATTTATAGATTTTTTTCTTTCTTCTATTAACATAAACTATGTTAAGCATAAGAGAGTTGGCTACCTTGAATATCACCCTCTGTTGTGTTTTATGTGATTAAAGCCTTAAAGATTTTTGAAACTTTGTTTTAATTGAGCAACTTTGACTTCTTTAAATATTTATTTTCAGCAATGTTTTTGGAACAGTACCAGCAGGTGCTGCTGCACAGACACAACCTGCATCTTCAAGTGTGCCTGCTCCATTTGGAGGTAACATAAAGTATTTATTAGGTTCATATTTCTTGTACATTTTCCAGTTTCTGACATGCTGTACAAATAAATGCTTACAAGAATATGTTAAAAAAAAGTTTCCTAGTCTCTTGAATTAATCAAACATGTTTATGTAATCAGTTAGAAATTGTATTTTCTGTGATGAACAAGACTGTAGATTGCATAATTACATAATAAGTATATAGAATACTTTAATAAAAAAAGAACAGTTACTTTACTGGGTGTCATAATTTCTTTTTCAGCTACACCTTCCACAAATCCATTTGTTGCTGCTCCTGGTCCTTCTGTGGCATCATCCACAAACCCATTCCAGACTAATGCCAGAGGAGCAACAGGTAAGAAAAAAGCTAACCTTGTATGTTTGTTGGTAATCTTTGAGGAGATGTTAATAGCACCGTAAGGTTTGCAAAGTATTTATAAATGTTATCCCTAGGTGAGAGGTAGTTGTTGTTATTGTTATTATTATCATCCCCATTTTACAGATGAGGAAGCAGAGGCAGACAGAGGTTCAGTGACTTGCCCAGATTATTCAGTAAGTATTTGAGTTGAGATTTTAACTCGGGTCTTCCTGACTTTGGGCCCAGTGCTCTATCCTCCGTACTGCCTCTCTCTCCACAGTTGCTAACCAAGAGGTACCAAGGAAGGAACCCAGGATGTCAGTTCACATCATAAATGAACATGGAAGTAGATTGGCCCATAATGGAAAACTAATTGATTTAAGTTTTCCAAATTACCTTTTAAAATACATTTAAACTTTTATCATGGACTTTATCAGGACACCTATAAAAATGATTGCAGAAGTTTTTTAGCAGAGTCTCTTAATAACAACTTGCTGTAATGCATAATACAGACCACTTGTAAGATTTGTTCATGTCTTCTGTCAGATGGAAACCTTGAGAATATCTGGCTGAGAAATGTAGGTGTATAATGTGCTTTTGTTTAAAAAAAATCCTTCTCATTTTTACCTCTTGACCCTTTTGGTTTGGACCACAGCCTCATCTGTGATACTTTCTTGATTTGTGTCTTATTAACCTGTTCCTCAAAGCCATTGCAGCACCTCAAGGATACCTGTGTGGGTCATATGGGGTGGATAGTGTCGCTGTCGCCTCGCTACTTTTTGTTTTTGTGTTTCTCTGTCATAACACTCTTACTGCTAATGTTGAAATGCCAATCAAATGATTTCATAATGTAAATCTTAATGAATAGATTTAAAATGTTTTCACCAAATTAGTCCCTGTTTACTAAGCAAATCTTTCAGTGAATATTGAATGATTAATGTTGACATTAGCTGATGTTTTTACTTTATCTGCACTGGTTTTTTTTTCCCCACAATTTCTTTGGTGAGTAGTTTTTTGTTATTTACTGGTATAAAATGTCATCAGAATAAATAATAAAATACTATGATATCAGCTTCTTAGTAATAGCAACTCACATTTACGTGATGCTTTAAGTTTCCTAGATGATTTTCCTCACGCCAACTGTGAGGTCCCTAATAGAGATACTGTCATCTCTGTCTTATATATGAGTAAACTAAGGCTCAGAAACATGGAGATCAGAGCCTAGTTAAGTGTCAGGTCTGCAACATAAACCGGGTCTTCTGAATCTTACCACTACATTCCATTGCTTTTTGAACTGTATCTTTTCTAAATTTGAGTATCAGCATGGACAATTATATTTTTCTTAATTGAGGTTCATCTTTCACTTTTAATTAATTTAGTGAAATTTAACATTAAGATAGTGATATGTGTATATGTAATAAATATAGACACACACATATTGTCAGTAAACATTTATTAAGTACCAGATATGTGCTAGGCACTGTTCTAAGTTGGGATACAAAAATAAAAAGAGAAAGGCTATCCCTGCCCTCAAGGAGTTTACAGTCTACTGGGGGAAAGACAAGACACAAAAGGAAGCTGAAGAACAAAGGGGAAGGAAAGAGAGAGGAGAAGGGGCCAGGTAGGGACATGGTGGAGAAGTTGATCAGAGAAGTCCCACCCCCCCAAAGAGGGTGGCCAGGGGAGAGTTTGGAGGTGTCTGAACTGAGCTCCCTCCTCAAGGGAAAGTTTGAGGTTCATGGCCCCACCTCCAGTCAGAGAGGCAGAGGGGTGGTTGTGGTGAGGTAGTGTCCCAAGGCTGATGAGGATATCCCAAGAATGAATTTCCTGAAGCAAGCAGAGAAGTCCCAGAGTAGAGCAACCAGAGGAGAAAGTTTCCTCCAATAGGAGAGGAAGAGGAAAAATGGTCAAGGTATAAACATTTTAAAAGTTCTGCTGCCTACTTTAAAAAAGTATATGAAGTCCTGAAATGGTTAAAGTAATCATTTCAGTTATTCAAATAGTGACCTTTAATGCTATAGAATGTTTCTTAGCAGCATTAGTTAAATGAGGTGATAACTGCATATAACTGTAAAGCTATAGATATAAATTAATATTTGAAGAGGCATATGTATGGCCTTCAGATTATTTTAACCTCTGTGTCGTAGACTCACTGTTGATTTCTCCATCTAATCTATGTTGTTGACTTTTTCCCCGGGCTTGAACATTTTTTTCACCTTTGTTAACTTAGCTCACATAATCATTTTAAGTTAATGTATTAAGTTAAAATGTTAAATGCAGTGCCTCTGTAAAGAATGTGACTTTTTAGGAGTCACAAACAGTTTTGGGGGGACTTTTTTGGGAATGTGACTTTTTAGATATTGATCTATTTTATTTTAGATCAACCTTGGAACAAATATTTTGTGTGTGGCTTATAATGTGTAAGATAATATTTTCCCCCAGGGGACACAGATGAATGATAAGAATAAATAGGCCTATGTCAACTTTAGACTCTTAGTAATTGTTTTCTTATTAGAATGGTATTTATCACATCTAATTAACTACCTATTGAAACTGCCAAATACATTCTGAGGTTTGGGTTTGTAACTGAAAAATAGTACTGATTTACTGGATTTTTTTCCTACCCTGCTTATATTTCCTATCTGGTTAGCATAAATACTTTTTTTCCTAGGTAGCAATAAAGTGTTTTCACTTTTAAAAAAGGCCTCTATTCACAGTTAGCCCTTTTATGAAATAGAAGTAATGTTATTTGATAAATGGCTGTCCATAAATAAATCTAAATTATTTGACGCTGTCTGGTCTCTTTATGGCTCTCCCTAAGGCTTGTCAGGATCAGTGCACTCTCACGTGTTTCCTCATGCTCATTTTGGTAGGTGGCCCTAGCTGATAACAGAGGCTACGTGTGGCTCAATGTTTCCCTGCTTGTCAAAGCTTCTTGCTGGTTTCTAGTTCTTTGCATGTGCAAATTTTAGTAGGTTTCTTCCATGTTTTAAATGGAGTGGGCATGGATGTTTAGCATAGGTTCAAATTATGACTTCTAATTACTTCAATAGTTAAAAGAAAAAGTATTGTTCAAAGCATTATTGCTTACTTCCATGGTCACATTAGTCTGTACCTGTAGCTTCTTTAATGTCTTTGAAGTCTCTGTTCTAGTAGCTTGAGTGACACCTTTTGGATGTAGCAAACCGTTGCACCATGTTATTCCAGTGAATTTCATTTGTGTATGTCTTGACTTTTGCTTTGCAGTGCTTTCTCAAGAAGTATTTGTCAGAGTTATGTCAATGAATCATGTGTTAGAAAGCCCTCTTTTATCCCATGCCTTTTCCTTTTAAATTCAGATGCTTCTAAAATGATTTCATCCTGCTCTACCCCCTTTTTTGGTAATTTGTAAAGGAACATGATGGGAAAAAAATGGGTATGTTTATGTCACATTCTAAAAGAAGAAATTAGGGTTAATTTCACATGTATGTACATGGATGGTATGAGGATTAATTTTGGCAAAAATCTACAAACTGCTTTCAGGTGCTCTGAGAAATACAGCATATATTGTATATTGTTATCACTACTATGCTTTAAATGAATGGTCCAGTTGATAAAGATTCTGAATAAAAAGAAATTGGCTTTTATTAATAGTTTCAGTAGAATTCATTGATTCTTGGATTTAGAGTGTTGTCACTAGTTTTTATAATTCCATTCAGATTTTTTCCCCCAGTACACATGAAATAGGAAGGTTCTCCACTGGATTGTTCAACAACAGTAAAGCATATAAATTTTTTTCCTGTTATTTCATTAACTTAGCAACACTCTTTTTCTCTATACTTGCAAACATGAATGCATGTTGTTGTTTTAAAATGTGTTTTGGCTTGAGCTTTATGGAGTTATTTGTCAGAATCTAAATAAATACATGTATTTTAAGTTTTTGAGAATACACTTTTTAAAGGTTATTTCTAGTGACCACTTTACTGATTTTATCCAGGAAAATGTGTTTTGAAGGAATGAAAGGATATAGATTATTAAGAGCTGATGTGTTCAAAATACAATGCTCCATATTAATTTTTTAAAATACCATATTTTTTGCTTAGGTTCCATCCTAATACAATTCTGATTAAGCACATTTTTGCTATGATGCTGTCTGTTTAGCCTCAGTACAAGGAGAAGTAAGAATGCTTTTTTTTTCCAGCATAGTATTTCTACGGATGTCTAATGGCAATTATTTTCCCTCTACAAGCGGCAACATTTGGAACAGCATCCATGAGTATGCCGACAGGATTTGGAACGCCTGCCTCCTACAGTCTTCCGACTAGCTTTAGTGGCAGTTTCCAGCAGCCTGCTTTCCCAGCCCAAGCAGCTTTTCCTCAACAAACAGCTTTTTCTCAGCAGCCTAATGGTAAGATATGACTCATGGGTGGCTTATCACACTAAACTAGACATTGTTTTAGAGGAATCACTTTGAGAGAGAAAAAGTATATGTTATGTGTGTGTGTGTGTGTGTCTGTGTGTCTGTCTGTCTATGCGTGTATATGTATACGCACATTTGTGATTTCATTTTATAAGTGCTTTTCTGTACTGAGTAGTCAGCAAGCATTTATTAAGTGTATATGTACCATGTGATAGGCAATTAGCTAGGAGCTGGGGATGCAAAGACAATGAATTAAATAATATCTATTTTCAAGGAACTTCCATCCTGTCAGGAGAGAATACACATGCATACACATATGCACACTCTTACATGTATGTATCTGCAGAATAAATACAAAATAACAGGAAGGGAAGAGATGAAGCACCCACCATGAGCCAGGCACTGTGCTAGTGCTTTACAGATATTTTTTCATTTGATAAGGTAGTAGAAAGGGGAAAGGCCTGGGAATTAGAAAGCAGAAATTATAAAAGGGATTTTGTAGAAGTCGTGCTTGAGCTGTTCTTAAAAGAAGAGAGGGATTCTGTGAGGCAGAGGTGAAATGGGAGTGCACTCCAGGCCCAGGGGATAGTCAGTGCTGAGGCCAGGGGACAGGAGAGTGAAGAACAAAGAGAAGTCCAGTTTAGCTGGATCATAGCGTAAAGGAAAAGGGAAGTAGTGTATGATGAAGCCACAGTGACAGGCTGAAGTCAGGTTATGAAGGACTCTAAAAGCCAGAGTAATTCCTGTTTTATCAGAGTGAATAGGGAGCCACTGGTCCTTCACTTAAAGAAAATTGTCATCTGTTTGTTATCATCTGTAAATTAAAATGTATAATTATTCAGTGCTATTATGCTTTGGCAGAAAATATAATTTGATAGTCAGCATAATAAATTAGAATTTTTCCTGACAATTGAAGTCAGTTGTCAGATAATCTGGTAGAGTAAACTCCTAGAGGGCAGAGGCTGTCTCACATTTGTGCTTGGATCCCTACTGCCTGACACCTAATAAGTGCTTGTTATTTGACAGAATCTTCTGACTGTTAGTCATCTAAGGTACTTTGGTGGTTGAGGCAAGCTGAGAAGAGAGCTATTTGTTTGAGAGCTATTTGTTTTTAAGAAACTCTAGAGGAAATTTTACAGCTGAAATTTGAGAGAGAGAACTCTCAGGCATAGTTCACAGAAATCTTTAGTATTAATATTGTACTCTGTACTGCTAAAGATGGAATTTCAAAGAAGTTGATTATGAGACTTCATAAGTATGAAGGCATCTTTTCGTGTATGGATTGTAATTGGTGGATCTGTGTTTAACAAGGTGCAGGCTTTGCAGCATTTGGACAAAGTAAACCGGTGGTGACCCCTTTTGGTCAAGTGGCAGCTGCTGGAGTATCTAGTAATCCTTTCATGGTAAGTGAGTTTAACTGCCTAACTTTCTAATTTTACATATTTGAACACGTTACTATTTACAGATTTAACTTCAGAAACATGCAGCTATTTTTCTTTCAAATTAGGGAAAGAAACATGAATCTTTCTGTATATGCAATTCAGTATTCCAGTGCCATGGCACTCATAAGGCTGTTCAAATTCTAACAGATTATCTATGGTCGATCCTCTTCTAAGAACTGTAATTTTCAGTTGGTGAGCCAGCAAACAAACATGCAGCCATGACTAAGCTGCTCACAGACTGAAGTCATCTTGCTCCATCCTCTGCTGAAACATCACAGGCTACATTTTATGGAAATAGGGCTTCCCTTTACTATTCTAATGAAGCTAGCATTTTAGGACTTTAATGGGTAGCATGTTTTTCTTGTGTTTATTTTTGCCTTCTGTTCACTTTTAGGCTGGTGCACCAACGGGACAGTTTCCTACAGGAAGTTCATCAACCAACCCTTTCTTATAGCCTTAGAGACACTTTACTGGAACGGACTTTATTGTGGTCACCTAACATCTCTCCGCCTCTTGCACTGTTGTCTCGTTTCACTGATTTAGCTTTAAACACAAGAGAAGTCTTTAAAAAGCCTGCATTGTGTATTAAACACCAGGTAAAATGTGCAAAACAGAGGGCTCTGGCAACATCTTTTAATATGTGAATTGGCAGAAAAGGTAGCGGTATCATGTATAGTAAAATTGGCTAATAAGTTATTGCAGATACCACGTTCATTATGCTGCAGTACTGTACATATTTTTTTTCTTAGAAATTAGCTATTTGTGCATATCAGTATTTGTAACTTTAACACATTGTTATGTGAGAAATGTTACTGGAGAAATAGATCAGCCACTTTAAGGTGCTGTCATATCTCTTGGAATGAATGAACTAAATCATTTTATCCATTGCTACTGGAAGTTATCAAGTCAGGATTGGAAGGTTTTGTTCATTCTTCAGTTTTTTTCTTTCCTAAAGAGCTCTTCTATTTATACATGCCTAAATGTAGAGGGTTACCTGTCTGCATAATAAAGCTGATCATGTTTTGCTACAGTTTGCAGGTGAAAAAAATAAATATTAGAAAATATGCTATTGTTTCTGTGTTCTTGCTGCAATGCCTTTACCAAAGTGGCCTTAAATAAATGAATAGGTAAATGGGAACATCTTGAATCAAATTTGTAAAAGATTTCTCGTGGCTAACCTTTATGATAAAAATTTATGAAGATTATGGGAAGGCCATGTGGAAAATTTATTAAACAAACAAACAAACTGTTATGGCTATATTCAGGAATGTCAGTGGTAAAGCATTTATATGCAGCTGGTCAAAATCACCTTAATTCTGGTTTCTTGACAGGTTATATGTTAGCAATTTGTTTTAAAAATTGCATGTTTATGTAGTTATCCAAGCCTTATTAGTATTTAATCATGAAACATAAGAAGACAGCACAGGGCCTATTTCAATATTTTTTCTTCTTTAAGAATTATCTTTGAATGTATTTGAAATATACATTATCTGTTTGACTTGATTACACTTTCATTTAAGCAAATTAGATTAGTATTGTCAGAAGGTAATGTTATTATGTTCAGTATCTGGAGCAAGAAAAACAGAATGTTCAACAGCTGACCAGTGTGCAAAATTCCTTGTTACAAGAAAGGCAACGATGTTAATGTTTGGTGGGTGCTTAATATTAACATTCAAGTGAATGCATATTAGATAATGTACAATAATGCCTCACTCATCTGGAAGTCATTTATCTGGCCATTTCAGTTATCTTGTACATAGCTGAGAACCTTGGAATAAAAAAATATACCTCTTAGCACCACTATAGTTATCGTAATGTCTATGTACTAAATCTCATGTACTTAACTCATAGGAGGAGAACTCAGGTCAGTAGAAAGAACATTTACTCTTTATTTTACATGCAGCAGTTATGTGTGTTTTCTGACTTCCTAGTCCACAACAGAGTAGAGTTTGCAAACTTGCATATATAGAGAGCCGAGCTTCTTAACCTTTTTTGTATCATGTGTCCCTTTGCCAGTCTGGTAAAGCCCAAGTCCTCCTTAGAATAACATTTTAAAATGTGTAATATAAAATACATAGGATTACAAAAGAACCAATTAGATTGAAATACAGTTTTCAAAAAAGATTTTTAGAAAGATCCAAGGTCACAGACTCTGTGTTAAGAATCGCTGGCATAGGTAAAAGTTTACTAGTTGCACAGGCACATTAACAACAGTCAGAGTTATGGTCATGGTGAGGTTGGAGAAAGAAGCCTGAAAATCGTACACAAGAACTAAGAAAGCATGGTACTGCAGGCTACCTTACTCCCAAAGACATCACCGTCCAATAACGTCCATAAGTGTGGTCCTGAGGTATCAAGGAATTAAATATGTAAAGTGTTGAACATCAGGGAAGTGTTAATACCTTGTAGAATTATTTCTCCTCAAAATGATTTAAAAATTTAAATTTGTCATTTAAAATGGGTAAATAAATTGCCTAGAAAAACTAATAATGTGAAACAATTTCTTCCCTAACTAAATGTAGCATCATAGCATTTTAAAATGCGTATGTGATATTTTGGGAACAGTTGAATCAGTATCTGTTTACCTTGATTGATGTCTGGTTTCTCATGACTGTTTTACTATGCAAGCTGGCTTGTACACAGGGACCTCTCCTCATTCCCCCTTTAAAGCAATGTACTTTATCATGTTAGAATATTGAGCATATTGTGTGATATGCACCTCTGGTCCGTCTGTGTCAGTTTATACGTCAGATGATTTTACATGCTGAGAGGACTACTTAAGCCCCTTTCCCATTTAGGGAAAAGGCTCTAAGAAATGTCTTTGGTTTCTAAATTTTTGTATATTGGATTCCAAATAATCTAGCTTACTGTCCTGAGGAACCAAAACTTGTTGCTAAAAGATTTTAAAGACTACAATTTTTACTCAGCATGTCTTACAGGTTTTTTAAAAAAATTAAATGGAATCTCTTGTGGACTGTTTTAAATTATTAGCTACAAATCTTAGATCAATGATTATTTTTTAATGAAGAGCTATTTTTGTGGCTTTGATCTTGTATGAAATTATATTTTACCATTATCCAAAATTACATTAACTTCCATGAGAAGTCAGTGCACAAAACAAAAGCTTCTCTTTATTGTAGTAAGAATGCTCAGAGGGGCAGCTAGGTGGCGCAGTGGATAGAGCACTGGCCCTGAAGTCAGGAGGACCTGAGTTCAAATTCAGCCTCAGACCAAACACTTGACACTTACTAGCTGTGTGACCCTGGGCAAGTCACTTAACCCCAATTGCCTTAAAAAAAAAACAACAGCAACAAAGAATGCTCAGGATCATGGTGGGTGTTTGGAGAAACTAAAGCTTTAAAAGAAATATAAACTAAGTTTTTAAAAGAGTCTCAAGTTTCTTGATTGGAATCACACTCTCTTTTTATTTCTTCTCTTAGCTGTATTTCTATAGGGTTCTTTCCTATATTGGTGTAAAACCTCTGTTGTACCAGTGGAAAGGTCTTTTGTTCTGCCTTCAGTAGAAAATAGAGACCAACTTAACATTTTTCTTTCTCTTTTAACAGTTGTTTATGTACTAGAAGTACATTATTGTCTTTACCCCTTAGTTGTGACTAAGTTGGTATTATATAGTAATTGCTTCTACTTCAAGGTTCTGTTATTTCATCTGTGTGGGTCCTCCCTTTACTGATGTGTGTCACATCCTCTTTATTGCCTTGGCTTGCAATCTTTATGAGTTGCCATTGCTGAAAAACTCCTCATCATGAAGGGAGGGGCTGGTAACCGTCTGGGCTCTCCACAGTGAGCCTGGGTGACAGGCACACAGTCCCTCGCTGGGTCCTTAGTTGAAGCCTCTTTAGCTCTGGTGGACTTGCCAGAGCATGAGCTCCCCTTGACCCAAGATGAACATCACGTTACCCTAAAGCACTGGGGGAGGATTTCACTGGGGGCACCTGTTTTCATTCCAAAAATGGAGTAGCATGATTTGTTAAAGCCTGTATTGTTCATGTGTAGTTCCTTAGCACTGTAATTTCGATAGGTGAGAGAAACATTTTAGGGTTATATACCTTTATTAAAAGGGAAAGAGAGAAAATATATTCACAACACTCAGCTGTTGAAAAACCTAGCTAATAGAATTAAAGATATGTTTACTCTCTGTGGAAAAAAGACTTGTAATATGCATTTTTTCACGACATTTTATGTTATTTATGGTGAAAAACAGTTATTGTTGGTCGTCATTTTGATCTCACATGTTCATCTTTTTTAGAAGCCATGCAATATTAAACAAATTAGCTCAGGACTGATACTATCTGAAGAGCTACGAATTTTTTTCTTTTGGAAAGTAGTTTTTTGGGGGGTGTTTTTTTTTTCAGTCTGTTGCCCTTGCTGGGTAGGCCTTGGTCCAAATCATGGCATATTAGCCACTGATCTGTGTCCTGCAGCCACTTGTGAAGTGCATACTTCTAGACATTCTTTTAGACTGAAAATAAGACTTGGAGGAGAGGAGGTAGGGCGGGAAGGGTTTATGTGGACTGATGTGAAGTGTTTCTGGGACACTTTGTGCCAAAAACCCATTTACTAAGTTAGTTGTAGCCGACTGCTGATTCCCTTGTAACATTTAATATCTCCAAAACATGCTAAATTCTGAGAAATATAGGACTAGTTACTTTTGACAGGCTCTGGAGATGCGTGTGAAAAAAAAATGAGTGCACACACACACACACAGAGTTACTAGCAAAAAGCCTTCCTCATTTTCTCTATTCTGTTTTCAGGTTTCAGATTCAACTTCAAGGTTTACTCTTTAAAAATATGAATTTGTAAATGTGTCATTTTGCTAAGAGTGTATTGTCAGCTAACCATTTTGCAATGTTTTCCTATAACAAGGCACTGCTGTTTTAAGTTATGTGTCATTTAATGTAAATGGGAAACAACTTCAAATAAATTAATTTATTAATAATGTCTCTGCATAATATGGTAGAGTGGCTTACCTCTGCCTTTTTTATTTTCACACTGTCTTGATAAGATGTCTTAATTATAATTTGATAGTTCTTTTTTTTCCCCAAGAGTTATTGTTGCAGCTGAAAAGATCTTCATACCTTTGAGGTTTATTACTTCCCTCCTTTAGGTGTTGGAATGACTTGTTTTACAGAATTTGTTTTCTGCCTTCAAGTTCCCTTTTAGGATTGCAGCGTCATAGATTTACAGTGGAATGAGACCTTAGAGTTAATCATTTCACAAAACGGTTAAGAAATGTCCGCCTTAGCCCTTTTCCCACTGTACTCTGCTGATTTCCTTTGACCATCCCATATTAATTATGGGTGGAGTAGGAACTGCAATTTTGTTGTTATGTGATGAATTATTTAAAGTCCTCTCAATTCATCTTTCACATGGTCTGTTGTAGTTTTGTCTGCATATACACACTGCCTCCGCTTTACTGCCTAGTCTGCCCTTTGTGCTCCTGTTTTCCCCTCAGACCTTCTTGCATGGCACTGTCATTATTAGTCTTCCTAAGGCATCTTTTTTTTTTTTAGCTACATCATACTTCTATGAGGAAATCATGAAAATCTCCCAGTTGCCTAAAAGATAAATTCAAGACCCGTTGCAATCTGTCAAATTCATCTTCCTCCCTTAATCTCCCCAGGAACTGTCCCTTCTGAAGTCACTCTGGTTGTCTTACTCTTCTCCAGAGTATCCTTTTCATTTACCTGCCTCCATTCTTAATAGCACGTACACAATTCTTTAATGTTTACAATGTGCTTTACAAATATTATCTAATTTTATCCCACAACAGCCCTGAGAGGTAGGTGCTATTATTTTCCCCATGTTGGGGCTTAGGAAACTGAGACAGACAGCTTAGGAGACTTGCTTAGGGACATACAGATTATACAACTGGGAACTGGTCAGTGTCTGAGGTTGGAGCTGAATTGGGGTTTTTCAGACTCTGGGACCCACCTGGCTTACCTTGAGTACTTTTCCATTCCCTGTTTGCTTATTAAAATCTTACCAGGACTCCATGCTTTGCCTCCACAAAGGGCCTTCTTTGACTGCTGGAACAGGAAGGGATCT